AGTCGTACGTTGAGTAATGCCATTCACATTTTCCTATTCGGCCCCCGCGGAGAATACTTTCCAGGCGTTATTCTTTCTCTGGCTCGGACGGCGAAGCCCACCAAGATTATTTTAATCGGTAAAGAGGAGAAGCAGTGGCGGGGTAGGTTTGCATTAATGGAAAAACGTTACGCCGCGAATTTCCATACATCCTGCATGAAATATTCTCGGTTATCTAACAGAGGCCAACGGGAACTCGCTCGAATTTCCATAACAAGGTGAACCGTCGTAAGTGGTTCTCTCGTTGTGTGCCCGAGCTTGTTAACCGTACACTGTAAACCACGGATTAATGATTCTCACGCAACCGATTCTCGTTATCGTAAGTCTAGTCGATAGCTCGGAATCTCTGAATCGCAAGAGGAATTTTATCGCGTAAGGCCCTCGGGATACTCGTGAGAGTTTACGGCCGAACTACAAACTTTGATGGCTATTTTACGTTACCAGCGGGCTCTCCCCCGAGAATCGTTCATTCTCGACACAGTTAGTCTTCTTTTAACGATCATCTTTCAAACGAACCGGTGATCGCCGAAAACCGTAATCGACGTTACCTTGCCTTCGAAACGATGGTTCCATCAAATATGAACGAGACAGAAGAGGTCTCACTGGATAGGAAACAATCATTCGTGATACATTGAAACGTGCCACGAATCGGATGGTAGAAAGGCGTCTACAATCGCGCAGGATGCAGTGTCTGTGTCCGTCGAACAAAGAAGGAAATTGTAGACATTAGAAAAGCGATACACAAAGGAAAGAGAATATGTTAACAACGGTGGGAAACGGTCGGGACACCGAACGTTGGACGTGAAAACACAGCGCGATCTCGGAGGAACGGAGCGAGCCCGCAATTTATTCATCCGCGTCCAGCGACGAGCATGCTCGCGCCAACGACGTTAACCACTATTCACCATCCAGCAACCACCAGAAGCTCGTTCAACACGGTATAGTCGTTACCGTGCTGCGCACGGCGCTAACGAGCCCCACAGGGACAAATAAAACTGCGCAACCCTCCCCTTTAACAGCTTAAGGATTCCAGCTTCCGTTCGCGATACATACTTACGAATACGCGCTCGGTCGGTCGCGTGTTTGCTCTGCGATTTATCAGCAACTCGTTATTAATCTCCCCTTCGAGGGATTCATGCTCGCGGAATCATCTTTCTAACACTCTATAGAAAAAAAAAAAAAGAAATTTAATGTCTGTACACCTGTATTTTGTTACGTTTTTCCGTAGATGTTTCGCGTTGCGGTGTAATATCTTTTCTGTTTTTCCTTCTCGAAATAAAGCACCACGAGCTCCGGAAATTTATCCCGTCGTGGAAAGCTGCGCCCAGGCAGCTTTTATGATTTTATCCGGGCGGTTGCATCCCTCGAGCGGAGGGGAAACGAGGGGAGGCTCAAAGCTGCAGAGAGGAAACGCGCTTTTATCGCGAACTTGGAAGCACTAAGCCGATCTTTATTACTTTCGAGATGAAGTTGCCGTTCTCTGGGCGCATTTCCGCGCCATTCAACTTCGCGGAGGATCGAGTACCGCCTTTCGTCGATTCTCCGTTGTCGAAGTGAAACGCCTGCGAGATTTTTACGACGGTCCTGTGTGTCACTGGGAAATCAAACGTTGAATGACACGACGAACCGTTCGGAGATTCTGGTCTCGAGGAGTGCGCGATATATGAGCACAGCATCCGTGATACATCGACGTGAGATAAATGGATGATCCTGTCTCCTGATTCGGAACTCGGAACGTGTACATTCGAGTGACACAAGTGGCAAAGCGCCGGAGACGAATCTCGGTGCACACGTAAAAGACGGGACCAAATCGGGCGCGTGAAAAGCCCCGAAATTTCTAAAGGTGTCCTTGATTGATTCGCCGGTTGTCGCGAAGACGCGGCGAACTAGTCGGTATTATATAGTTCTCTTTTACGAAGGAATCAGGACACCCGTTTCCTCGGGGACGAAAGCTGTTTCTGGTGCATTGCGACGAGCGGACCTCGGAAACAGTGATCAGGTTTTCTGAGATTCAAAGGGAATCTCCGTTCTAACGAGTCGCAACGTAAAATTCACAAAAATGATACTGAAATTGCACTCTCATTTTTCAACATTAACTTCTTAGACACCAGGTACATAAAAGTACATGTGTTCCTTTGGTTTGTTATTATTATTTCGTTTCCGTGTAAATTAGAGCTCCAATGTGATAATAAAATTTCCTGCATATAATTACCTATATCACACGTTACACATTTTCATTAAGTAAAATAAATAAACCAACAGTATTAGGGACACTGACGGTAATCGGGAACATTTACCCCAGTTTTATCACGTTCCACGTGTGTACAAGCTAATCAAGCGTAACCCTATTCCTGCGAGGCTGTTCGAGATTAGAGAAACTATCGTTCCGCTGTCGCTTCGTTCTTCCGAAAGTTTTCATGAAATTAATATTTCACCACCGTCGAATTACCCACCCATAACCACCGCATAACTCGACCCGAGAAAGTCGAATTCTGATTCGCGGCTGACCGAGGCGGGTAGAACCGTAAAAGTGCAGAAAACGCGAAAAGTGTCGGCCATCCGACAGGGTGGAAGGCGGGTAGCGTGACAAACATCGTGCCGGGAAGTCACGACAACCTTGGCTTTGCATATTCCGTCGCGGTTCGCCTGGTACCCTCGTCTGTGTACCTTCTGCTTTCGGAACCGTGACATTATACATGCATTGCCAGGCATCTTGGTGACGAAATCGGTGTGGTTCATCTGATAACTTAGTGCAACGTTTCCGAGTAACGAGTTCTCGACGAAAATCTTTTTTAATAAACATGTTTATTGCACAAGAACATAGTACATTATAATAAAACAAAAGGTAACAATTGTAAGAATGTATGTATGTGTATATGCACATGTGTGAAATGGTAAATTAATAGATTTGGATGACGTAAGATGGCACTGTAATAGCCCCCCCCCCC